GAGTTAGGCCCTGGGGATGTGGTCGCCCTCGGCGCGGAAGCCGTTCTCGTCGGCGACGTAGTTGACCTTGAAGTGCTGGTTGGTCTGCGGGTCGACCCACTCGAAGCTGCCGCGGACGGCGATGGCCTCCTCGTCGGTTCCCTGGTTGATCAGTTCGGCGGTCTCCTCCTTCTTCTGTCCGTCGGAGATTTCGTAGCTGTACGAGTAGCCCTCGAGTCCGTTGTTCTCGTGCAGCCTCTCGCTGACGAGCACGGCCTCGACGGCGGCTGGGGCGACGCGGCTCTCGGCGGGCGCCAAGTAGGCGCTTTCCACCCGGGACTCGGCGACTGGCGCCAAGTACGAGTTGTCCACTCGGGACTCGGCGGCCGGCGCCAAGTACGAGTTGTCCACTCGCCTCGAGGCTGCGGCGCGGTGCTGGTGCTGGTGGTGGCTGTGGTGGGGCAGGAGGCCTGCGCAGGCCACGGCCACGAGCGCTGCGAACACTACGAACTGCAAGGCAAACAACGGCCATTAAAACCATTAAAACTCCACCAAACAACTTTTCCCTCGTTTTCGGCCGAGACTTCGGCCTTTGCAACACTTTCGGCCGAAAACGACTAATTTGAATTACTAACCGAATTTTCCCTTTTGAATTAGTAAAGTTTTCTAATAAATTAATAGAACTTAATATTTATAAGTAAAATTTACCAATTTTGAGAAGATGATGAAAATTTACTAATTTAAAAGCAAAAGGCCAGTCACTAATTTAAGTCAGTAAAATTTAATTTAAAAAATATGGAATTATTAAATACTTATAAATTAGTAGAAATTACTAAAATAATTATAGTAATAATATGAATTAACATTAATTTATAATTACAGTACAATTTATTTTATTTGAATATAAATTTGAATAGAAAAATTATGAAAGAATTAAAATATTAAAAGAAAGTTGAGTTTATAATGTGGTTTTTATAATTTTTTTATCATTTCTTTTCAATGCGCGTTAGTCACGAGCGTTAAGGCGCTTTTAGAGTAATTTATCGTCCTGCGTTCGAATCTTTCTAGATTTTAATTTTTTTTTTATAATAATAATAATAATAATAATAATAATAATAGTAATAATAATAATAGTAATAATAATAATAATCGTAATAATAATAATTAATAATAGTTTACAATTATTATTAATAAGTAAAATTAACTAATTTCGAGAAAAAGTTGAAAATTTACTAAGTAATTCAAAAGCAAAAAAGTCAGTAACAAATTTAAATTAATAAACATTGAACTTAAAAAATTTTGAATTAGTAAATGTTACTAATAAATTAGTAGTGAAAATAACTATTTACTGGACAAATTAACCAATTTAAGAGCAAAAAGTCAGCCACTAATTTAAATTAGTAAAGATTTTCAACTAATTCGAAATTTAGAGCAAATGTTGTAAAAACTTGGCAAAATTTGAAAAAAGATGATTATTTTTTAGACTCTCACCTGTTTCATGGTGAATTCAGAGAAGATGCTTTCCACGATTGGAGGAAACTGAAACTGATGATTAGCTGAAGATGTTCCTCGGTTTATATACCAATTTTTTTTCTTTTGGGATGCCCTTTTGATTATTAATTCTTTTTTTTCACAATTTGGTCAATAGATTTGATATTTAAATATAATAATGAGACAATATTCAAATGAAGTATTGATATTACCTAATAAAATTTCACATAATGCTATGACAACTTTTTCCTGCAAGTTTTTTCTTATTAGAGTTCTTTCTATCATTTTTTTTTTTTTTTGGAATCACGAAACATTTGGAAATTTTACATATAAAATAGTCAAATCGTCTTCCACTAATTATTCACGTTTACATTTTACAATATTAAGATGCAATTGGGTAAGAAATTTTAAATGTTATACTCTGTTAGGGAAAGGTCTTTATTTGATTTGAATTCGAAAAGGAAAATTGCATAATTGAAATTTAATATTTATCTGATTTGAATTTGTTTTATGTTTCTATATAAATATGTATTTTGTATATTTAATATTTGGATATATGAATTGAAAATATTTTCGCAAGAAGAATTTAAAAATTGTATTATTTTCCATAAGTGGTTCTTTTTCTATAATATTACATTTTTAAAAAAAAAGTTTTCTTGAAAGTATCAAATTGAAACATAAAGTGTTTTAATTTGATACAAAAATTTAGATCAATTTTTTATTTGACTCACAGTTTGATATCAAATTGATACACTTTTAGTATCATTTTGATACTTCCAAAAAGAAATTTGATTTTAAAAGCTGAAATTTTTGTTATAAAAAAAATGTTATAATTTTCTAACTTTAATTTTGAATCTGGAATAATTTAACTCTTGCAGTGGAATTTTATTAAAATTTAAAACAATTTAATTGTTTCAAATTAATTTTATGAAAAACTTTTGAAAATTTGAAATAAACTTTATAAATTGAAAATAATTGAAATTTTGCTAATAATTTTATTTTAATTTTTTGGAAAGAATTTATAATAATAATTTTGATAAATAATTAAATTACTTTAGAAAATTTCATTAAAATTGTACTCAAATTCATTTCCTGCAAAGAATTTTAATATTTATGAAAATAAATAAGTTTTTACTAAGAACTTTATTAAAAAATATTTTTAAATAAATTGAATTTTTCGAAAAATTTTATGAAACTTTTTATTGGAATATAATTGAATTCTTCGAAGAATTTTAATTTCAATTATTTTTTCAAATTCTTACTGGTTTTACAAATTTTAATTATTTTCTAGAACTTTTAACTCTCTAAATTTTTCTATAAGTCAATTATTTTTATTAATTTTGAGAAAATTTGTCGAAAATTAAATTACCAGTTTGTAAAACAACTACTTTTTAATTACATTTAAAATAAAATTCTTTGAAAAATTTAAACATATAGAAAAAAAAATTAAATTTGAAGCATTTTTAAATTTAATTTATTTACGAATATCAAAAATCTTAGGTATAACTCTTTCAAAATTTAATTATTAAAAAGAAAATTAAAATACAATTCTCTACTAATTCAACCATTTTTTTCAATTTAAATTTTTACGTTGATAGTTGAAATTTTGCAAATAACTTAAATTTAAATTTTTTTAAAAGAATTAATAATAATTAATTAATTAGTAAGTAAATTTATTTTTAACTGAAAATTTGCAATTAATTCAAAAATTCAAATTAATAATTAAAAATAAAAATTTTGTGGGGTATTTTGCATCTTCCGAATTCTTTTTTTGAGGTAAATTTTTTTAAATAAAATTTTTAATTAAATGAAGTGAAAAATTTTACAATTTATTTAATTTGAAATAAAAAAATTAAATAAGAATTGAAATATTAAAAAAAAAGTTGAGTTTATAATGTGTTTTTTATCATTTTTTTCATTTCTTTTCAATGCGCGTTAGTCACGAGCGTTAAGGCGCTTTTAGTGTAATTATTCGTCCTGCGTTCGAATCTTTCTAGATTTTTTTTTTATTATTTATTAATCAAATTCTTTACTTTTTAACTCAAATTTTTGTTTAAATAAAGCGAATATTGTACAAATTATCTTATTTAAAAATAGATTTAAATAAAAGAATTTAAATAGAAAATTTGAATTTAAATTCGAGAATAAAAATTAAAATTTAGCGAATAATTTTATTTGGATTTTTTTACACAATACAATAATATTTAATTAATTAGTAAGTAAATTTATTTTCAATTTCAAATTTGCAATTTATTCAAATAATTGAAGTTGATATTAAAAATAAAAAATTTTCTAATATTTGCTTCTTCCTAAATTCTCTTTTTTCAATTTATTATTTTCTTACTTAAATTTTTAATTAAATAAAATAAAAAATTGTATAATTTATTTTATTTGAATAGTAAAATGAAATAGAAATCAGAATATTTTTTTAAAAAAAGTTGAGTTTTTAATGTGTTTTTTATAATTTTCTTTTCATTTTTTTAATGCGCGTTGGTCGCAAGCGTTAAGGCGCCATAAATATAATTATTCGTCCTAGGTTCGAATCTTCCTAAATTTGATTTTTTTATTATTTATTACTCAAATTTTTTACTGTTTTACTCAAAATTTTTATTTAACTAAATCGTAAATTATACAATTTATCATTATTGTAATATAAATTTGAATAAAAAAATTAAATAGAAAAATTAAAATGAAATTAAAAAATTAAAAATGATTGATTGAAATTTTGCGAATAATTTTATTTTAATTTTTTTAAAAACATTAATAATAATAATTAATTAGTAAATATTATTTTTAATTACAAATTTGGAATTGATTTCAAATTTAAAAATTTAAAAATTAATGTTGATATTATTAAAAAATAAAATTTTTTTGTAAATTGCTTGTTTCTAAATCTTTTTTTTTATTTTATTAGTTTCTCTCTCAAATTTTTAATTAAATAACATAAAAAATTATATAATTTATTTGATTTTAATAGTAAAATGAAATAGAAATCGAAATTTTTAAAAAAAAGTTTAGTTTATAATTTATTTGAAAAAAAATTTTTAAATTTCTTTTTAATGCACGTTGGTCACAAGCGTTAAGGCGCTCTAAATGTAACTATTCGTCCTGCGTTCGAATCTTTCTAGATTTTTATTTTATTTTTTTTTTTTTTTATTATTTATTAATGAAATTTTTTCCTTTTTTATTTAAGTAAATCGTATATTATACAATTTATCATTATTTTTAATATAGATTTGAATAAAAAAATTAAATAGATGAATTAAAGTTTATAAATTGAAAATAATTGAAAATAATTAAAATTTTGCGAGTAATTTTCATTTATATTTTTTGAAAAGAATTAATAATAACTAATTCACTAATTAATTAGTAAGTAACATTATTTTTAATTGCAACTAAATTTAATATTGCAATTTTATTTTTGATAAAAGCAATTGATTTTAAATTTAATTTGAAATTTAAATTGAAGTTGGTATTATTAAGAATAAATAATGTCATTGTTTGGGCAAAGAAAATAAAAAACGACAGAATTAGCAATTTTTTTTTTTTTTTTTTTTTTTTATTCAAGAAGATATAATTAATTTAGACACTGGGAATGTGAGCGCCCTCTGGATGAAAACCATTTTCGTCGGCAACGTAATTGACAGTGTAGAGTTGATTTGTTGCCGGATCAACCCAGGAGTAACTTCCTCGGACAACAATTGCCGCGTGTTCCGTTCCTGGATTTATCAAATGAGCCGATTCTTCACGTTGTTGTCCATCGGATAATTGAAAATTGTATTGATATTTGTCGAGTCCAATATTGTCGTGTAAAAGTTCCTTGACAAGAACAACGTCATCGGATCTTTTTTGCAAATTTTGTGGCGCACCAAAAGCAAGGGCCACGACGGCAGCAAGAACAATTGCCTGTAAAAAAGAAAAAAAAATAATTAAGAATTTTTTTTTTTTGAAAAATATTTTTATTTTTTTGTTAAATTTTATTTGGAAATTGTTTCATTTTCGAAAATTCGTCATTTGTTGTCAATTTCTAGATTTAATTATTCATGTTTCGGCAATAAATATTAGTTTTTAGGGGCGAATATTAAAATTTGGTTTGCTTTCTTTTTTAATGCGCGTTGGTCACAGGCGTTAAGACACTACGTGTAGAATTATTCGTCCTGCGTTCGAATCTTCACAATTTTTTTTTTTTTTTTATTTAAACTCGAATGTTTATTTAATGTAGTTTCTTCTTTTATTTTTACACTAATTTTTATTTAAATAAACCATAAATTATACAATTTATTTTTTTTGAAAAGAAAAATGAGAAATACAAGAGAAATTATTCGTCCACTGTTCGAATCTTCCTAATTTCACTTTTTTCGTTTACTTTTTTTTTATTTTTTACTGAAATACTTATTTATATTTTGTTTCTTTTTTTCAATGCGCGCTGGTCACGGGCGTTAAGACACTACGTGTAGAATTATTCGTCCTGCGTTCGAATCTTCACAATTTTTTTTTTTTTTTTTATTTAAACTCGAATTTTATTTAATGTACTTTCTTCTTTTATTTTTACACTAATTTTTATTTAAATGAAGTATAAATTATACAATTCATTTTGTTTGAAAAGAAAAATGAGTTAAAAATATAAATATTTAAAAAAATATTGTTCATTGTCTTTTATAATTTTTTTGTTTTATTCTTTTTATTATTTTATTTAAAAAAAAAAAATGTCAATTCGAATCTTCCTAAATTCTCTTTTTTTAATTTTATATTTTACTCCAATTTTTAATTAAATAAAATAAAAAATACAATTTATTTTACAGAAAATACTAAAATAGAAATAAAAATTGAAATATTTGGAAAAAAAATGTTGAGTTAATAATATATTTTTTATAATTTTCTTTCTATTTCTTTTCAATGCGCGTTGGTCGCGAGCGTTAAGGCACTATAAGTGTAATTAATCGTCCTGCGTTCGAATCCTTGTAAATTTTTTTTTTATCAAAATTTTTTCTTTAGTTTTTTTTCTTAATGTTTTTATTATTATTTACTTTTTATTTTACTTTATTTATTTTTATTTAAATAAAGCGCAAATCGTACAATTTATCTTATTTAAATATTAATTAGAAGTAGAAAAATTAAATAAAAATTGAAATATTAAAAAAAAGTTGAGTTTCGATTGTATTTTTTATAATTTTTTTTCATTTGTTTTCAGTGCGTGTTGGTCGCGAGCGTTAAGGCGCTATGAGTGTAATTATTCGTCCTGCGTTCGAATCTTTCTAGAAATTTTTTTTTTTTATTTATTATTTATTTATTTATTTATTATTATTTAAATAAAACAAAAATCGTACAATTTGTCTTATTTAAATATAAATTTGAACAAGAAAAATTTAATAGAAATCGAAAGGTTTAAACAAATGTAGTTTATAATTTTTTGATTTCATTTATAATATAATTTCTTAAGTAAATAAAAATAAATAAATAAATAATAAAAGAAGAAACTAGAGATAGAAGAAAAAATAATAATAAATGATAAAATTTAATTCTGCAGTTAATAGTAAATTTTTTATAATTTAAAAAAAAAATTTTTTTTTTTAAATTTAAAAAAAAGTTTTTTTGTTAATTTTTTGAGTACTCAATTTTTTTTCTTTGTAAATAAAAAAGATAATTTAATTTGTTAAATTAGTATTTTTGTGTTGAAAAAAAATATTTAGTAGCACTTTTTTTACACACCAATTTCATCATGATGAGTCTTTTTTTTAATTCTTTGTTTTTAAAATAAAACAAAAAAAAAAAATGTTTCACTTTATTTTTTGTTTGGTACAACAACAGTTGAAGAATGACTGATTTTTGGAGAAGATTCGCACGTTTATATACTATTTTTTTATTCAAATTTTTCTACCCCCCTACCCAATCATAAATTTTTTCCCACAAATGTCAAAGTCTTCTTTTTACCTTTTTTCTTCCAATATACCAAAAATTAAGTAAATATTTTGCATATATCCATATTACAACATAGTTTCGATTCTTCTTAATTAAAATTTCATAATCTTTCGTGTTTCACGATAAAAAAAAAAAAATTTTGTCACATAAGTGTATTCGGCGAAAAGAAGGAATCTCTATTTTTCTTGAAAAAACATTTTCGATTTTTATTCTACATTTAGAAATTCTTAAAGTATTTTGTAGATAAATCGTTTTTTTAAATTAAAAAAATTTTTTTTTAATTTTTAATTTTTTTTTTTTTTTGTTTTGAGCGAAATGATTTTAAGATTTAATTAAATAAAAGTTTTCTGATATTATTTCAAAATAATGATGAAAAACTTTTGTTTACGTTTTTTTCTCAGGTTATTTCTCTTTGAAAATAAAAGTTTGTGCGAATTGAGTGAATCTGCAAATTTTTTCTCATCAAGGTCAGTGGGAGATGTTGGCAAAAATTCTCACCATTTTACAAACTGACGTAACTGAAAGTCATTATCGTTGCCTAATTTTATCGATCATTTCTTTGACATTTTATATTAGAGAGAAATATAAAAAAAGAACCTTTAGGCTATCATAAAATTGATGTGAATTATCAAAAAAATAATTCTAATTATTAAAAAAAAAAAAAAAAAAAAAAAAAAAAAAATTATAGTAAATTACGATTGGCATTAATGTTTCAAATTTTTTTCTTTACTTCTTTCATTGTTCTACACTTTGATTTTTTTATTAATATTCTGTTTAATATACAAAAATTACTTTCAATTTTTTTTCAAATTTCTATTTTTTTTTCATTTCTTATTAAAATTCTATTTAATTTACAAAAAAAAAATTCCTTTTTTATATTTCAAACTAAAACAAGATTTTGATTTTATTAGACAATTAGTATTAATTATTCATTTACGTTCTTTATTTACATTTGAAAAAAAAAAAAAAAAAAATTTCAATAAGAAGATTCGATCGCACGACGAATTCTTCTCGCTAGTGGCCTAACGACCGCAACTAACGCGCATTGAAAAGAAATATTTAAATTTAATACATATTCTCCCGTTAAAAATTACTTTCAATAAAAAAAATTGTAATATTCATTTTAAAAATTGTCTTTAGAACCTAAATCCTCCCCCCCCTCGCTGTAAAAAAAAATTCTTAATTAAAAATTGATAGAAAAAAATAAATATTTTGAAAAAATTATTATAATCAAATTCTTTAAAAAACAATTCAATTATTTTCAAAAAATATTCAAAATTCAAATTTTCAAAATCTAGTATTTTCATGAAATTTCGCAAAACATTTCAATTATTTAAAAAATAAAACTCATTCAAAATTCAATTTTTTTTATTTATGGAAATAATAAAAAATAATAAAGATAAAATTCATCCTAAAATTCAATTTATTATTTTCATAAATAGGTAATAAAAATTTCGAAAAAATCAATTACTTAACATAATTTTTATAAAAATTCTTCGCAATAATTCAATTATTTTCATAAACAATCAAATTATTTGCAGAAATTCAATTATTTTTAAAAAATAATAAAATCCTTCTTAAAAATTCAATTATTTTTTTGAAGACAATATAATTTTTCGTAGAATATTAATTATTTTGGAAACTTTTATTAAAATTTTTAGCAGAAATTCAATTATTTTTAAAAATTTATAAAATCTTCACAGGAATTAAATTATTTACCAAAAGTAATTGAATTCTTTACATCAATTCAATTATTTTAAAAAAATAATAAAATTCTTTACAAGAATTCAATTATTTTCATAAATTATTAAAATTTTTCAAAAATTCAATTATTTTTAAAAATTTATAAAATCTTCACAGGAATTAAATTATTTACCAAAAGTAATTGAATTCTTTACATCAATTCAATTATTTTAAAAAAAAATAATAAAATTCTTTCCAGGAATTCAATTATTTTAAAAAAAAATAATAAAAATTCTTTACATAAATTCAATTATTTTCAGAATTTATTAAAAATTTTCGCCGAAATTCAATTATTTTCAAAAAACAATAAAATTCTTCGAAAGAATTCAATTATTTTTCAAATTTGTTAAAATTCTTCGCCGAAATTCAATTATTTTTAAAAAATAATAAAAATTCTTTACATGAATTCAATTATTTTTAAAAAATAATAAAATTCTTCACATGAATTGAATTATTTTCAGAAATTATTAAAATTTTTCGCAGGAATTCAATTATTTTTAAAAATTTATAAAATCTTCACAGGAATTAAATTATTTACCAAAAGTAATTAAATTCTTTACAGGAATTAAATTATTTAAAAAAAAAAAAAAATTCTTGCGTAATATTCTTCCCAATAATTCAATTATTTTCATAAATAGTAAAATTCATCGCAGGATTTCAACTATTTTTAATACAATTTTACAGGAATTTCTCGAAAAATTTAATTATTCTTAAAAATTTAATTTCAATTTCTTGAAAAAATCAATTATTTAAAAAAGTTATTTTTTAAATTTTTTGGAAAAATTCAATTATTTACAAAAATATTAGAATTTTTACAGAAATTCAATTATTTTCAAATATTTTAATAAAAATGTTTAAAAGAAATCAATTATTTGTAATACAATTTTAATTAATTTTTTTTTTAATAATTCAATTATTTATTTAGATTTTAATAAAATTCTTCCCAAGAATTCAATTATTTACATAAATAATTCTTCGAAAGAATTCAATTATTAAAGATAAATAACAAAATTATTCCCGAAAATTCAATTATTTTGAGGCATTTTAATAAAATTCTTTAACAAAATTCAATTATTTTCATAACTAACAATATTTATCATAAGAATTCAATTATTTTTAAAAGTAGTAAATTTCTTCTTGGAAATTCAATTATTTTTAAAAGTCCATTTAAAATTGTTCGCAAAAATTCAATTATTTTCATAAATAATAAAATGCTTTCTAGGAATTCAATTATTTAAAAAAAAATTGAATAATTACCACACAAATATTCAATTATTGTCAAAAATTTTTAATGAATTCTTTTGTTAAATTTAATAATTTTAAAAAAATTTTCGCAATTCAATGATTTTCAATATCTACTATATTTTCATAAAATTTCCAATCAGAATTCAATTATTTAATAAATTTTTTGTAAAAATCTTCCTAATAATTCAATTATTTTCATGAATAATAAAAATTTCTCATGAATTCAATTATTAAAATTAGAATTATTATTATTAATTATTAATTTATATTAGAATTTGCATAAAATTAGTCAAACCCCCGAGTCATAAATTTTTTAAGTAAATTGAATCAATTTTAAATTCCATCGTCCGCCATATTGTATCCGCCATTTTGAATTTGTGATTTAACGAAAAAACGGCTATTGAATTTTAGTTTAGCAAATAAAAGACGAAATAGTTCAATAAGAATTTATGAAAACTTCAAAAAAGTGAAAATACGGAATAGTGGAATAGAAAAAGGAAAAGTAGTCAAAAAGGAAATTTGAAAAAAAGGAAACAATAAAATATTTTTAAAATTTTTATTTATAACTTGAGTCTTGTATCACAGAATTTCAGTTGTAGAAATTAACTGAAATCATAAGTTTTATCAGACTTTAACAAAAATGGTAACAATAATTCGTAAAGATAACCTAAAAAATAGAAAACAAATTAACATTTTAGTTTATTTCTTTTTTTTGTTCAAACGCGAGGAATATGTTCACCTTCCGCGTGAAAACCATTTTCATCGGCGACATAATTCACCGTGTACCTCTTCTTTGACAGTGGATCGAACCACGAGTAGCTCCCTTTAACAACAATCGATTCACTCTTGGTACCTTGATTTATTAATTTCGCCGATTCCTCCTTCTTCTGGCCATCGGAGAGTGCATACTGATACTCGTAGCCATCGACACCGATGTTGTCCTGCAATGTTTCACTGACGACAGAAACTTGCTGATGATCAGAATCGTTCGCGATTTCTTCAATTGACGATATGCCGGAATTTATCTGCACTGGTGACAAGTTTGATGATTGGGGAAATGCCTCGGTTGGTGTGTAGGAGGTTTCGATTTTTTGTTCTTGTGATGGTGGTACATAGGAGCTTTCCACTTTTTGTTTTGGTGATGGTGGTACGTAGGAATTGTCGATTTTTTGTTTTGGTGATGGTGGTACGTAGGAATTGATGATTTTTTGTTTTGGTGATGGTGGTACGTAGGAATTATCCACTTTCTGCTTTGGCGATGATGGCACGTAGGAAGTATCCACTTTTTGTTTTGACGATGGAGCTAGGTAGGAGTTTTCCAATTGTTTTTTGGGGGCTACTGACGAATGGGAGTTCTGTTTGGATGACACCGACATCGAGGAGGATGTTCGGACCCTATTTGTTGACTTTGTCGCCACTGGGTCCAAGTAGGAGTTATCAATGTTCGCTGATGGTGTTTGTTTTGACGACACTGGAGCCAAGTAGGAATTCGGAATCTGTTTCGTCAGTTCAGGTGCCAAGTAAGAACTTCCAATTGACTCTGTTTGCTCCGGCACTCCGTAGAATTTATCAGATTGTTTTAATGACACTGGTGCTAGGTAGGAATTATCGAGAGTTGTTGTCTGTTTCGGGGCTGGAACTCCGTAGAATTTATCAGCTTGTTTTGATGACCCCGGAGCCAGATAGGAATTATCAGGAGTCGTTGTCTGTTTTGGGGCTGGAACTCCGTAAAATTTATCAGCTTGTTTTGATGACACTGGAGCCAAATAGGAATCATCAAGCGTTGTTGTCTGTTTTGGCGCTGGTACTCCATAGAATTCATCAGCTTGTTTTGATGACACTGGAGCCAAGTAGGAATTATCAATATTCGTCGATGGTCTGGGTGTTGTATGCTTTAACGCAGGTACTCCATAGAAATTATCGACTTGTTTCGATGACCCCGGAGCCAAATAGGAATTCGAAATCTGTTTCTCCACTAAAGATGCCACATAAGAACTCCGAATCTCTTCTTGTTGCTCCGGTGCTTTCTGGATATTCTCCTCCTGCTTTTGTCCTCCTGCAACTGAATCTAAATTGTGATTTTCCGATTCGGGTGCTCCGTACAATTGCTCAAACTGTTTGGTTGAAACTGGTGATCCGGGTGCCAAGTACGAATTTTGAACATTTCTCCTCGGTTGTGGAAGGAAATATTTATCTACATTCGCCACCGGAGTCGGTGGATTGTAGAAGACCTGCTCAAACCCAATTTGTTCCGGAACAAAGTAGGAATCTGCGATTGCATCTCTTGACGGAAATAGAAGATGAGAATTTTCGTCTGTTGGTGCGACTTCCTCTCTAGGGTCGAAGGAATATTTCTCGAAATCAGAGGGAAGGTAGAAATTTTCGACAATTGGTGCCGATGTACTGGTGGTAACTTTTTCGGTTGTCGTGGTAGTGACTATTTTCGTGGTAGGTGGCAAATAGTCCTGAACTGGGTGAAGTTTTTGAATAGGTGCTGGTGTGGTGGTACGAGATCTCTGCCTCTTTTGAACAGGTGGCAAGTACGAATCATCAATTGTCGGTGCTGCCGTTGTTCGTGCTTCTTGTTTCCTCGCCGTCGTCGTCGAAAACTGCGAAACTGATTTTTCAGTTGTTGCCGGTGGAAGATAGGAGTCGTCAACACTACCAGCAGTTGTCGTCCGGATTCTTTGGATTCGCCTCCGCTTTTGATTTCCGTTCGTCCTGGTACGTGGACGTGAAGTCTGTCTTGTTTCCACCGGAGTTGAATGAATTTTTTGCGATTCGAAATTTGTTGGAACTTCGGTTTCTGTTGGCAAATAATTTGGCGCAGGGGTTGAGTGACTTTTTCGTGAGTCGACAATTTCTGCTTCGGTTCCAGCCGGTAAGTAACTTGGCGCAGGAGTTGAATTCGTTTTCGTAGATGCAGAAACTTGTTTGCCAGTATCGACAGTTTTTCCTGATTCGGAAGATGTTAGCGAATCTTTTGTCGATGCTGGTGCCAAGTAGGTATTCGTCTTCGTTGGTTCAGATCCGAAATCTGAAGTTTTAGCTATCTTCGACTCTTCTGTCTTTATTGTCCTCGGTGGCAAATAGGAATTCTGGACCCTCTTTCTTGGAGCAGCAGCGATTTTTGTTGTCACAGGAGCCAAGTAAGAATTATCAAGCGTTTTAGTTTGTTCGGTTGCAGGTTTCTCAATCTTCGGCGTTGGTGTCGAATTGGAATCCTTTGTTGTCGGTGGCAAATAAGAATTCTGGACCTTCTTCCTCGGTGCAGGTGCCTTTATCGACACTGGATCCAAATAGGAAGTCTGGATCTTATATCTAGGCGAAGGAACAAAGTAAGAATTATCAACTGCCTTCGGTGGTTCAGGTGCATAGTAAGAATTCACTGGACCCAAGTAATAATTATCCAAAGTCTTCGTGCTATCCGGAGGTAAATAGGAATTCTGCCCCCTGGTTTTTTGTGTACTCTCAGTTCTCGTAGGCGAAAAATAAGTCGTTGGTGACAAATAAGATTGTTCGATAGACTTCTCCGTCGTTGGTGCAAAGTAAGAATTCTCATTCCGAGAGTTGATATTTGCTAGTACTGAATCAAGAGACTCAGGATTCTCAAAAGTTTGTGTTTGTTTTGACGCCATGTGTTTGTGACTCTTTCCCGAAGTTGCAGTCTCTGCATCACCCAGCTGAAAACTGTGGAATTCATTAGACTGTATAGCCGCCATATATTGAGGTTCAATTGAAACAGTTGGTTCAATAGGCGCAAAGTTTTTGTCACTCGTTCCACTCTTTCCTGGTGCCGAATACTGTTCTGACGCTGTAGATACTGGAGTCTGGCGAAATCGATCCATTGTTGCAGGTGCTGCATAATTAGCTGCTGGTGCGTAATTAGCCGAATTTGTCTTTGTCACTGGTGCATAGTTCGTATTTTTTGTTGGGGCATAGTTGCCATTGACAGCATTAGCAGAATTTGTATTAGCAAAATTCGTGTTTGTAGTTGATGCATAGTTTGTATTTGCTGATGGCGAATAATTATTGTTAGCATCAATTGCAGAATTCGTCTTCGTTACAGTGTTTCTCGTTACTGCCGAATTAAAATTTGATTCAAAATTCGTGGTTACAGTTGGGGTATAATTATTATTAGCATCATTGGCAGTATTTGTCGTTGTTGCTGGTGCGAAATTTCTGTTAGCATTTCCCGCGTAAGTTGTTTTGGCATCACTGGCAAAATTGGTCCTTGTTACTGGTGCAAAATTCGAGTTCCCATTTGTTGCAAAAGTAGTTTTGGCATTACTACCAGAATTTGTATTGAAAGTTGATGCAAAATTTGCGTTTACAGTTGGTGCATAATTCGTATTTGTTGCTGGTGCATAATTCGTATTTGTTGCTGGTGCATAGTTTGTATTTGTCACTGATGCATAGTTTGTATTTGTCACTGGTGCATAATTCGTATTTGTTGCTGGTGCATAGTTCGTACTTGTCACTGGAGCATAATTCGTATTTGTTACTGGAGCATAATTCGTATTTGCAACTGCTGCATAACTATTTTTCGGTACTGCTGAATTTGTCTTAATGTTTGCTCCCGAATTTGTTGTTGTTCCTGGTGCATAACTATTTTTCGCTACTGCTGAATTTGTTTTAATGTTTGCTCCCGAATTCCCACTCGCTACTGGTGCATAATTCGATTTCACAACCGACGCATAATTATTTTTAGATACTATCGAATTAGCATTAAAGTTTGATGCAAAATTCGTTGGTGCATAATTTTGTGTTGGTGCCGATTTTGTGTTGGTCCCAGATGCAAAATTCGCATTCCCTGCTGGTGCATAATTACCATTAGCATCATTAGCCGATTTTGTCTTGGTGACTGGTGCAAAATTCGTGTTCACTGCTGATGAATATGTAGCACTGACATCATTTCCGGAATTCACTTTCGTTGTTGTTCCAAAATTGTTATTTAATGCTGCATAGTTGCTGTTATAGTTTCTTGTTGCTGCAGGAAAATTTGTGCTTCCTGAGTTTGGCGGTGGCACTGGTAGATAAAAACGATCATTTTTCACACTGTGCTGAGGTGACGTGAAGGATTCGAGGATCATAAACGTTTCCGATGCCAAAGTAGGTCGTTTCAAAGCAGATGTTGCTGTATGAACTGGTTTCACAATAATCGGTTTGGTGTAATCGTAATTCACCGATGGATTTTGATGAGCATTGAAACCATTGTTGTGAGGAAGGAGCCCGGCACTGGCGAGGGCCACAAACGTACCGAATGCAATCAGCTGAAAAAGAATTTTAAAAATTTGTTAATCCGTTTCGAGAAGTGTAGTGAAAAAGTTTTTTTTTAAACTAAACGAATAATTTTATTTACTACATAGGTTAGTGAATAGTAGTAGCAGTAACAGTAGGAGTAGTAGTAGTAGAAATAGTAGTAATACTTGTAGCAGTACTGAATAGTAAATAAAGTTATTTGTCCCACTCTTTGTTTGGTGTCTAAAAATACGAATGTTTGACAAATGTTTTACAGAATTTTTATAGTTTTTATTTATTGTTTACAGTCAGTTTACTTAGGTACATCCACAATAGGCCCTTTTTACCCCTTTTTGTCGAACCCAACACAAAAATACAAAAGATTTCTTTGTATTCTTCCATTATTGTTCATGCAACAGACATAAAAAGAGCCAATTAAGAACACAACCTTTCTGTTAGTTAAGTTTCCTGTCAATTTCTTTCTTTTTGCTAAAAATTTCTCCTTTGTCAGTATTTTCGACCCAAAACGAACTTTTAACCTGTTGATGCTTTAACATTAAACATAAAAAAAAAAAAAAAAAAAAAAAAAAAAATTAACACAAAATTAACACAAAATTAACACTCGTTGAAAAAACAAAATCATTACACACCACTTTCATTGTTCTCGATACTTCTGCCCTCGTCAAAAAATTGGCGACGACAAGAAGTCACTTTCTTCCTTCGGTTCCAAAAATCGGAAACGCTCCTAAACTAATGACATGTTACTTTCCTGACCACTGGTATTTATATATGTTCTATTTGGAAATGCAGTAAAATCTAAATCCCCTACTACCAACTAATGAAAAAAGAGAAAAATAAAATAGGGCTTGGAAAAAAAAATTTCTAATTTGAATTATTGGAATTTCACTTGATGTATATAATATCATAAAGATGATCGAGAAAGTTGTGTGTTTATATATGTATTTTTTATTGCGTAACAACAAAACGCAGTTCCGCTGCCGAAAACTATGTCGAGAAATTGGAAAGCAAATAATAAAAAAAAAAATTTTCATATTTGAATATCAATGATGATTGGGAGACACCTCGGGTCATGTTTTTTTTCCTTCTTCTTGATACACACAAGTGCATTTGAAAAAAAAAAAAATTTTTTGAAAAAATAACGTTAAAGCAACATGAGTTTTGAAAAATGAAATACCTGGGTACAAGAAATTGTAGTGAGAGGGTTTCAAAAGGAATGATTCGTTTCGAAATTGGATTCTTTAAAAATTGAATCAGAATGTAATGAGTAGATGATGAATGTATTTTTAATTGGCTGCATGATTAATTATCTTGTTAGATTATTGCTCTCTAAATTCGAATTAGTCGAGAAAATAATAAAGTGATCAGTAAAAATTTGACTGAATTTTTTTGCTTTAGGAATTAGTGGAAAATAAATCATTTTTAGTAGAAAGTAACTAATGGTAGACAATAACTAACTATTAGAAGAAAATAACTAATTTTTAGTACAAAATAAATAACTATTAGTAGAAAATAACTAATTATTAGTAGAAAATATCTTGTGATAGAAAACATTTTGAAGTAGAAAATAACTCAAAATTTTTTTTTCAACTAATTATTAGTTATATTCTACTAATAATTAATAACATTCTATATTAATAATTAATTACATTTTGCTAATAATTAGTTATTTTCTACTAATACTAGTTATTATAGTAGAAAATAATTAATAAAAACAATTAGTAGATTATAATCATTAATTTCTACTGTTAGTAGAAAATAAATAAATATTAGTAAAATCTTGGTTGAATAAAAATGCAATTAGTAAATTTGTCAATTATTAAAAAAGAAATAATTATTAATTGAAAGTAATTAATATTAGAAAATAACTAATTAATAGTAGAAAATAACTAATAATAAATTATATTCTACTAGTAATTAATTACATTTCACTAATAATAAGATAATTTCTACTAATATTAGTTATTTTCTACTAATATTAGTTATTTTCTGCTAATAAATGGCCATTTTCTACTAATATTAGTTATAGTAGAAAATAACTAATATTAGTAGAAAATGACTATTTATTGGCAGAAAATAAGTAATATTAGTAGGAAATAACTAATTATTAGTAGAAAATAACCAATTACTAGTAGTACTAATAACTAGTAGGTAATATCTAGTAGTAAAAAATAACTAATAATTAGTTATTTTCTACTACTATTTATTTTCTACTAATAATATTTTTTCACTAATACATATTTTCTGCAAATAAATAGACAATTTCGACTAATATTAGTTATAGTAGAAAATAACTATCTAACTATTAGTAGAATATAACTAATTTTATTAGTAGAAAATATCTTGTTATAGAAAACAATTTAAAGTAGAAAATAACTTATAATAAAATATTTTCAACTATAATAACTAGGTTATATTCTACTAATACTAGTTATTATAGTAGAAAATAATTAGTAAAAACAATTAGCAAAAAATAATTATTAATTTCTACTATTAATAGAAAATGCCTAATTATTAGTAGAGCATACTAATAACTAGTAGATAATATCTAATAGTAAAAAATAACTAATAATTAGTTTTCTACAAATGATTAGTTATTTTCTACTAAACATCATCTATTAGTAGAAAATAAATAATTATTAGTAAATCCTCGGTTAATTTTTTTGTCTATGCAATTAGTAAAAAATAAATAATTGTTTATAAAAAGTAATTAATATTAAAAAATAACTTTATAATTAATTATATTCTACTAATAATTATTTATTTTCTACTAATTGCTAAAGCAAAAAATCAACCATAATTTTACTAATAAATATTTATTTTCCACTAAAAGTTAGGTAGTTATTTTCTACTATAACCAATATTAATAGGAAAAAATAATTATTTTTTAGAAAATATCTAGTAGTAGAAAATCTAATAATTATTTATTTTCTACTAATAGTTTGGTAATTATTTTCTACTGTAACTGATATTAGTAGAAAAGAACTAATATTAGTAGAAAATAACTAATTATTAGTAGAAAATAACTAATTTTAAGAGTAGTAAATATCTTTTAGAAATTTTTTTGTAGTAGAAAATAATTCATAATTATTTTCTACTAAAAATTAGTTTTATTCTACAAAGATTAGTAAATTTTGCAAATAATCAGTAGTTTCTACTAATTCAGAACAAAAAAGTTAATTACTAATTTTAAATTTTAAATTAATAAACATTTTTACTGATTCAAATCTTCAGAGTATAGTAGGCAATATCTACTATTATTTAACTAATTATTAGTAGAAAATATCTAGTTGTAAACAAAAATAAAAAAATATTTATTTTCTACTAATAGGTAGAAAATAACTATTTTCTACTATAACTAATATTATGTGGAAAATATTTATTTATTAGCGGAAAAAATCTATTAGTAGGAAAAAATAATTATTATAGTAGAAAATAAATAATTATTAGTAGTAATTAATTAATTATTAGTAGAAAACAAGTAATTATTAGTAGTAATTAATTAATTATTAGTAGAAAACAAGTAATTATTAGTAAAATCTGTTTTGAATTTTTTATTAAGCAACTAGTAGAATTTAACGAATTATTGCTAAAAAAAATTACATTATTAGTGAGATGTAACTAATTAATAATAGAATATAACTAATTATTAGTAAAAAAAACTAATAATTATTAAACAAATAACTACGAAAATAGTCAAATTTAACTAATTTAACTAATTTAGTTTTAATTTAGTCTTAATTAGTCTTTAGAAATTTTAGTGTTTTGGACAAAAACTAAATGTTGAATTTAAGTAATAATTAGTAATTATTATCTATATTTAATTAAGAGAAAAATTATTTTTTTAATCAGTGAATGATTTTTAGTATAAGAATAAGAATAATAATAATAATAACAATATTAATAATAATATTAATAATAATAATTTTAATACTAATAATAAAATTGATATTATTCGAAAAAATTGCGCTTTCGATTTCAAAAGCCGAACGGATCGAGGAATTTTTGGATCGTAATGTCGAAAATTAATCAATTTGAAATTTTCGGGAAAAAGGGAAAGTTAATTTACATTTACGAAGGGTGATCTAATTATGCTTTAATGTGCATAATAAAACTATAAATTATGATATTATTATTATAATGATATTATTATTTCTATATACATAGATATTATAAAATAAAATTAAAAAAAAAAATAAAAGTAACAATAAAAGTGAAAATTAAATAAAAAATTGTTTTTATTTTAATTAATTAGTTTATATCTCTTATATGAAAAGAAAATTTAATTAATTAAAAAAAATAAGTAAAATTTATTATTGTGTCAGAACAAATTTAAATATTGCTAGAACAACAAAATAAATATTTGTTTATTAGAATTAATTTATTATTATTAAATAATACCTATAAATAAATATATTAAATAATAAATAAAACAATAAATTCAATTGTTGAAATAACAATTATTTTTTTCCTTTTATAAATATGGTAATTAATATAATAATAATAATAATAATAATAATAATAATAATAATAATAATAATAAATAAAAAATAGTAAAATATGTATAAAACTCATATTCAAGAGTAAAAAAAAATTGTTTCTTTAAATAAAAAAACAAGTTAGATATTTATACAGAAAATCCAAATTTTATTTGAAATATACATAGAAAATATTTTAAAGAATCAGTTTAGAATTCTAAAAAGTGATAAAAATGATAATTTTGAATATATCCAGTTTTTTTCCTTATTTAGGATTATGAAATTACGTGAATGTGATTTAAATATTCATAAAGTAAATTTTATCTTCCAAAAAAAAAAAAAAAAAAATGATACAGGAAGATGATTTTAAATTATAGGAAAACATGCTTTTATAATCCAAAATGTTATAATATATTATCTTAAAAAAAAAAAAAAAATGCATATCGTAAACAATTTTTTTTGTTGAACGTTTTAGTATTTTATTTTTGTTATAACTTAAAAAAAAAATTTTTTTTTAATTAAAAAAATAAATTAAAAAAAAAATAATAATAATAAGTAATAATAATAAAATGACATAAAAAAAATGTTTTTGAAATTTTTTAATTCAGTTTTTTTAAATAATTGAACTTTTATACAGAAACGTAATTGAAAATATTTGAAATAATTGAAAATTCCCCTAAATTTTTTATTTTTATCAGATTCTATTTAATTTTTTAATTTTTTACTTAATTTTTTATCATTAATTTCCTCAATTTCTAAAAAAAAAATAATTGAATTTTTTAAGAAATTTAACGATCCTCTTGAAAATAATTGATTCAATATCAAAATATTTTCAATTAAAATTATTATTAATTATAGTTAATTTTAAAAAAGACTTAAAGTTAAAATTTTTTTAAAAAATTAAATTTTAAAAAGTTCTATTCAAAATTTTGCAAAATTAATTGAATATTTTAATTCTAGTTTTAAGAAGTAATCAAATTTTTATAAAAAAGATATAATGAAAATGTTCGGAATTAAAATTTTCTGAAATTCTAAAAATAATATATCAACTTTTTAGGAATTTTATGGAAAATTTTGAAAATAATCAAAGAATTATTAAATTTAATAAAAAATTCAATTAAAACTTTGTATTAATTAATTAATTAATTTCAACAAAAATTTAAAAATAACATTTTTTTTTTTGAAACATTAAAGTTTCGAAATATTTTTATTAAATTCTAAATATTTTTTTAAATTCTGAAAAATTAGGTTTTTCAAAATATTTCAATTCTACTTTTTTAAAAATAATTGAATTGTTTATAAATAATTGACTAATTACACAAAAATTGATAATTGAATGGATATGAACAGAAAATTTAAAAAATTAAAAAAATTTCCTTCGAATTCTGAAAAAAAATTTAATTGAATTTTTAAAGAAATTTATGGATCGTTTGGAAAATTGATTCAATTTCAAAAGATTTTCAATTAAAATTATTATTAATTATAGTTAGGTAATTTTGCAACGATTATAAGTTAAAGTTTTTGTTAAAAATATTAAATTTTCTAAAATTTTTATTCAAAATTTTGCAAAAATGAGGTTTTGTGAATATTTAAATTCTATTTTTAAAAAGTAATTGAATTTTTATAAACAAGTAATTAAAAGTAATTGAAATTTTCTGCGATTTAAAAAAAAATAATTGAATTTTTATAAGCAAATATTTGAAATTTTCTGAATTTTTAAAACAATAATTGAATTTTTATAACCAAGTAATTGAAAATAATTGGGATTTTTTGAAATTTTATAAACAAGTAATTGAAAATAATTGAAATTTTTTGAAATTCTAAAAAAATATTTGAATTTTTATAAACAAGTAATTGAAAATAATTGAAATTTTCTGAAATTCTGAAAAAAATAATTGAAATTTCATAAACAAGTAATTAAAATTTTCTGAAATGTAAAAAAAATAAACAAATAATTCAAAATAATTGAAATTTTCTGAAATTTAAAAAAAAAATTGAATTTTCATTAGCAAATAATTGAAATTAATTGAAATTTTCTGAAATTTAAAAAAAATAATTGATTTTTTATAAACAAGTAATTGAAAATAATTAAAATTTTCTGAATTTCTAAAAAAAAATAATTAAATTAAAAAAAATTTTTTGAAGTTTAGAAAATAATCGAGAAATTATTCAATTTCGAAAGATTATTGAATAATAAATTTTTTTATTAATTTGTATTATTAATTGATTAATTTTTATTAATAATAAATGAACGTCGTAAAAAGTATTCGCTAAAAATAGAAAAACGAAAATTGCAAAAAAAAAAAAAAAAAAAAAAAATCGAATGGTAAGGTTTTTGAAAAAAATTAATGCTGATATTTTTAATTTCTAAAAAAACATTTATTTTCATTCAATTTCCAAACAACTATAGATTACAAAAAAGAAAAACTTTTTCTAATTAATACAAATACTTTTTTGCATTATATAAATGGCACTAGTAATTAATCTTGACAATTTTATCAAAAAAGAAATATACATGACCAATATTTATCATTTCGTTTTTCGATAATTTCTATTTATTTATTTACTAATTTTGAAATTTAGAAAAAAAAATCATGTTCTTTAAAAAAAATTTTTGTTTCACTATTTTAAAATTTTTTATTTACACAATTTGCAATTAAAAATCAAATGACAGCGATGGTTTTGGATATTGATAACCGTCTGGTTTCACTACTTTCGGTTTCGTTTCGGTTGGCAAAACAAGTGGTTGAGCTGGTTTCGGGTACTGGTAACCGTCTGGTTTCACTACTTTCGGTTTCGTTTCGGTTGGGAGAACCAAAGGAGCCGATGGTTTCGGATACTGGTAACCGTCGGTTTTCACAACTTTCGGTTTCGTTTCGGTTGGCAATACCAATGGAGCAGAAGGTTTCGGGTACTGGTAACCGTCGGGTTTGATTACTTTTGGTTTCGTTTCGGTTGGCAAAACCAAAGGAGCCGATGGTTTCGGATACTGGTAACCGTCGGTTTTCACAACTTTCGGTTTCGTTTCAGTTGGTAGAACCAAAGGAGCAGAAGGTTTCGGGTATTGGTAACCGTCGGCTTTAACCACTTTCGGTTTCGTTTCGGTTGGCAAAACCAATGGAGCCGCTGGTTTCGGATACTGATAACCGTCTGTTTTGATTACTTTCGGTTTCGTTTCGGTTGGTAAAACCAAAGGAGCTGATGGTTTTGGATACTGGTAACCGTCTGCTTTAACCACTTTCGGTTTCGTTTCGGTTGGCAAAACCAATGGAGCCGCTGGTTTCGGATACTGATAACCGTCTGTTTTGATTACTTTCGGTTTCGTTTCGGTTGGTAAAACCAAAGGAGCTGATGGTTTTGGATACTGGTAACCGTCAGCTTTAACCACTTTCGGTTTCGTTTCGGTTGGCAAAACCAATGGAGCCGCTGGTTTCGGATACTGATAACCGTCTGTTTTGATTACTTTCGGTTTCGTTTCGGTTGGTAAAACCAAAGGAGCTGATGGTTTTGGATACTGGTAACCGTCAGCTTTAACCACTTTCGGTTTCGTTTCGGTTGGCAAAACCAAAGGAGCAGAAGGTTTCGGGTATTGGTAACCGTCAGCTTTAACCACTTTCGGTTTCGTTTCGGTTGGCAAAACCAATGGAGCTGAAGGTTTCGGATACTGGTAACCGTCGGGTTTGATTACTTTTCGTTTCGTTTCGGTTGGCAATACCAAAGGAGCCGATGGTTTTGGATATTCATAACCAGATTTTTTCACTTCCGGTTTCGTCTCAGTTGGCAAAGGCAAGGAATTTTTTGGTTTTTGATATTGATATCCACTGAAAGACTGCTTCACATCGTTGATGTTGTTGTTGTTGTTGTTGTTCGTTTCTTTCACCTCATTGGTTGTTTCGTAATGAGGTGGTAATGGAATTTCGTTGATGTCACTGAACAGTTGGCCACTGGCCACGGCCACGAGAGCCGCAAATGCGAAGAACTGGAATTAAAATAAAAGGAAATTAATTAGCTACTTAATGACACTCGTTAAAGTTAATTTTTAAAATTAAAATTAAAACTAAAACTAAAAAAAAAAAAAAAAAAAAAAAAAATACCTAAATATAAAAATAAAAATAAAAAATTGAATCGAAAAAAATTAAAATAAAAAGGATAACAAAAATTAAACTAAAAAGGACTAAAAAATAAAACTAAAAAGGACTAAAAATAAAACTAAAAGAAACTAAAATTACTAAAACTAGAAAAAAATATTAAAAAAACTAAAAAACTAAACCAAAAACAAAAAAAACTAAAAAAACCAAAACTAAAAAGTACTGAAAAGAATAAAACTAAAAAAAAAACTAGAAATTAAAATGACTAAAACCAGACAAAAATAAAACTAAAAAAACTAAAAATAAAAAACATTACCGAAAAAAAATAAAACTAATAAAAACCAAAACTAAAAAGGACTAAGAAAAACTAAAAAGACTAAAATTAGACAAATGTGAAACTAAAAAAACTAAAAATAAAAAACGTAACCGAAAAAAAATAAAACTAATAAAAACCAAAAGTTAAAATGACTAAAACTAGACAAAACTAAAACTAAAAAAATTAAAAAATAAAACTAAAAAACTTAATTTTTAAAAAAATTTAACTATAACTAAAAAGGACTAAAAAATACTAAAATGACTAAAACTAGACAAAAATAAAACTAAATAAACTAAAAATAAAAAAACTACAAATAAAAAACTTAACTGAAAAAAAAATAAAACTAATGAAAACCAAAACTAAAAAATTAAAATGACTAAAACTAGACAAAACTAAAACTAAAAAATTTAACTAAAACCATCAAAACTGAATAAACTAAAACTGAAAGAGTAGAACTAAAAAAATGAAAACTAAAAAAACTAAAATAAAAATAAGTAAAACTAGACAAAAATAAAACTAAAAATACTAAAAAGAAACCTAAAATTAAAAAAAAATAAAAATAAAAAAACCAAAAGTAAAAAACACTAAAAAATAAAACTAAAAAAACTAAAATGATTTAATGTAGACAAAAATAAAACTAAAAATAAAAAAAAGTAAAACTATAAAATGAAACTAAAAAACATAAAAATTAAAAAAAAAACTAAAAACTAAATTTTAAAAATAAAACTAAAACAACCAAAACTAAATAAACTAAAACTGAAAGAATAAAACTAAAAAAATAAAAACAAAAAAACAAAAATTAAAATAAATAAAACTAGACAAAAATAAAACTGAAATATAAATGAAACTAAAAAACTAACACAAAAATACAAATAAAACTAAAAAATTAAAAATAAAACTAAAAAACTAAATCTTAAAAAAATATAACTAAATCAACCAAAACTAAAAAAATAAAACTAAAGAAACCAAAACTAAAAAAATAAAACTAAAGAAACCAAAACTAAAAAAATAAAACTAAAGAAACCAAAACTAAAAAAATAAAACTAAAGAAACTAAAACTAAAAAAACGAAAACTAAAAAAAAATTTAAATAACTAAAACAATAGAACTAAAAATAAAAACCTAAAACTTAAAAAAACATTAAATTAAAAAAAAACTAAAACTAAAAAAGGACTAAATAAAATAAAAAATAGAAAAAAATAAAACTTAAAAAAACCAAAACTAAATGAAACTAAAATAAAAATGACTAAAACTAGACAAAAATAAAACTAAAATATAATTGAAATTGAAAAACCAAAAAAAAAAAAAAAAATACAAATAAAACTAAAGAAACCAAAAATAAAACTAAAAAACAAAAATAACTAAAACTAAAACAACTAAAACTAAAACAACTAAAAAAACTAAAAGAAACTAAAACTATAACAACTATAAATAAAACTAAAATATAAATGAAACTAAAAAACCAAAAAGAAAAATACAAGTAAAACTAAAAAATAAAACTATAACACAAAAAAACTAAAACTAAGAAAACTAAAAAGACTACAGTTAAAATAACTGATACTATACAAAAAGAAGACTCAAAATAATATAAAAGAAGGAAAAATAAAAAACTAAAACTAAAAACAAATTAAAAGAAAAAAAACTAAAACTAAAAACAAATTAGAATAAAAAAAACTAACACTAAAAAGGACTAAAAAAACTTAATAAAATAAAAATACAAAAAACTAAAAATGAAACTAAAAACTAAAACTTAAAAAAATCTAATTAAAACAAGCAAAGCTAAAAAAACTAAAATTAAAGAAACTAAATCTAAAAAAATTAAACTAAAAAAAAATAAAATAAAAAACCAATACTAACAAAAATTAAAATAAAAAAAACAAAACTAAAAAGGACTAAAAAACTAAAATAAAAAACAAAAAATAAAACTAAAATAAAAATGAAACTAAAAGAATAAAGCTAAAAGAAATTAGTATACAGAAACTAAAACTAAATCAAAATTTAAATAAAAGAACCTAAACTTAAGAGGACTCAATAACTAATAATTTAAAATAAAACTAATAAACTAAAATTTAAAAAAGTTAAAAAAAAAAAGTAAAACAACCAAAACTGAAAAAACTAAAACTAAAGAAACTAAAACTAAAAAAATTAAACTAAAAAAAAAATAAAATAAAAACTAAAATAAAAAAACTAAAACTAAAAATTACAACTAAAATAAAAATGAAACTAAAAAAACTAAATCTAAAAAAAAATTAAAACTAAAAAACTAAAAATAAAAAAAAATAAAACTAAAAAAACTAAATCTAAAAAAAATTAAAACTAAAAAACTAAAAATAAAAAAAATAAAACTAAAGAAATAAAACTAAAAAACTAAATTAGTATTTTTTGCACGCACCACTTTCATGTTTATTTTGTCCGGGAGAAAAATCACTTTTTTCTCTCTTGTTGTAAAAATAAACTTTTGTTTATGTTTTTTTTCCTTTGATTTTTTTTTGTTTTGTTTTGTTTATTTGTTTATTTTTTTATTTTTTTTTTTTTTGCTTTTTTTATCACCACACCAAAAAAAAAAAAAACTGGGTGATGTTTAACCGGAATTGGAAGTTGAGAAAATGACTAATTACCTAAACTGTGTTTGGGGTTTATATACCTGTTCGAATTCTAGTGATCTAGGTGTCCCTTCCAGATATAATATGGATACATAAAAAAAAATTATTCCAAATTTCCAAATTTTTTTGACCATGAAATTCACGACGATCGCACGATGACGCCTTTTTTCGTTCTTTTTAATATACAAAAAAGTTGCTTCTTGGACATCATTAAGCAAGCCAATTTTGTTTTTTTTCCCTTTCATCGTCAAAATGTATGCGCAAGAGAAATATTATTTAAAGATATATTCAGAAAAGTGCAAATTTTTATGGAAATCGTTAAAATATTTATTGAAAGAAAAAAGAAAGGAAAAGGAAGTAATAGATTTAGATTTTAATTTATATATCTTATTGTATTTGTTAATTAGAAAAATGTAATATTTTATTAAGAAAAAAGACCTTTTCATAAAATGTTTCAAATAATTATAAGGAAATAAAATCAAAATATTAAAATTAAAATGAAACTAATATTAAAATTAAATTAAAATAATATTAAAATTAAATAAAATTGAAATTAAAATTATATTAAAATTAAATAAAATTGAAATTAAAATTAATAATAACAATTAGAATAAATTTAACACCAAAACAACAAAGACACTAATTTTATTATTTGCATTGTACGTTATTCAAACTTTTTCTTTAAAAAAAAATCTTTTTTTTAAACTCTTTTTTTTAATTAATAATATTTTTCACATTATCAATAAAATGAGTAATTTTTTATTATAAAAAAATTATACAAATAATTTATAATTTTTTTTTTTAATAATTTTAGTGAAATGTATATATTATAAAACTATTTATAAAGGTTTGGTAATATGGCTGCAGGGCGTAAGGCGCGCGTCACTCTGAAATAAGAGCGCAGCGTTCGAATCCTGCCTCGAGTGGATTTTTTATTTGAGTGAGTAAATGAGAGAGGGGAGGGGGGCAGTAATTAAATTTAATAAATAAATTTTAAATTTTATAAATAAATATAAATTTAATAAATAATTAACAATAAATGATATAAACTATTATATAAACTAAAAATAAAAATAAATTATAAAAATATAAAAATGACTATTTATGAGGGAACGAAATGATGATTAAAAATTAATTACAAATATTTGATAAATTATAAAACATACGTAAATTAATTATTATAATAATAATATAACAAAAGCAACAACAACAACAATAATAATAATAATAATAATAATAATAATAATAATAATAATAATAATAATAATAATAATAATAAACATAATAATTATAATAATTATAATAAAATAATAATTTAACACTCATTCAAATTAATTTTAAAAACTAAAATAACTAAAAATCAAAAAAAAAAAAAAACTGAAACTTAGAAAAATAAAAAAATATTACTAAAAAAATAAAACTAAAAATAATAATAATACAAAAATAAAATTAAATTTAAAAAAACCGAAAGCAGGACTTGAACCCTGGACCTTATGCAGGAGAGTCAGGAAATAAACCAACGCGACAAACTTAATTGTTAAATTAAAAATAATTCTTGGAAATTTGAAACAAAATTTAACAAAACTTTTAAAACAAATTTATTAGAATATTCTTTAATAGAAATTATTATTTGTTTTTATTTCTTTATTTTTTCGACAATAATTCTAATTTAAAGTATTTTTTCCTCTTTTTGTTTCAGGTGAGTTACAAATATTACATTTCCTGGTGGACTTTATTTCGTGAGTAAATATAATATATTGAAATATATTTTCTTAATAATAATAATTATGTATTATAAGAAAAAAATTATCAAAGGAATAATCAGAAAATTCTAAATCGTTTATTAAACAAAAAAAAAAAAATTTTTTTTAGAATTGCAAAAAAATTAATTAAATTTAAAAAAAATATTTCGGAAAATACATTTATTGCTTTTGCAAAATTTCTTGAGTTTCTAAATTATAAATTTTAATTATAAAAATTGAATAATTATAATAATAATAATAATTAAATAATTAATCGAGAAAATCTGTCCTCATGTGAAATTAGTGTTTTTTTATTCTAATTTTTTTTTTACAGTTCGAATTGTTATGTCAAAAGTTTAACAGTTAATTTGTAAATAAATAAAATAAGTCAAAAGTAAGAAAATTCCCGAAAATAATTTTTAAAAAATTGAAACAATTAAATTTTTGTTAAAATTTTACAAAAAAAAAATTTTTTATATTTTAATGAATTTAATTTCTTTATCGTTTAAAAATTATTATCTATAAATAAAATTGTATTTTTAAAAATACATTATTTTATAAATTTACAAAAATTGTATTCCATTTAAATAATTCAATTCTCGTTGGTGAATTCATAGTTGAATATTAAATTTTAAAAAAATTTTATTCAAAATTTTGCAAAAATTAGGTTCTTTGAATATTTAAATTCTATTTTTAAAAAGTAATTGAATTTTTATAAACAAGTAATTGAAAATAATTGGAATTTTCTTTAATTTTTATAAACAAGTAATTGAAAATAATTGAAATTTTCTGAAATTTAAAAAAAATAATTGAATTTTTATAAACAAGTCATCGAAAATAATTGAAATTTTCTTAAATTTTAAAACAATAATTGAATTTTCATAAACAAGTCATTGAAAATAATTGAAATTTTCTGAAATTTAAAAAAAATAATTGAATTTTTATAATTATATTTATTTTTATGTAATATATAATTTTTAAAAAATTGAAACAATTAAAAATTTTGTAAAATTTTACAAAAAAAAATTTTTTATATTTTAATGAATTTAATTTTTTTATCGTTAAAAATTATATTATCTATAAATAAAATTGTATTTTTGAAAATACATTATTTTATGAATTTACAAAAATTGAATTCCATTTAAATAAATTCAATAATTCTAGTAGTTAAATTCCGATAGAAATTGATTTTAAAAAAAATTTTCAGTTAAAATTTTAGAAAATAATTGAATTTTTAAAGCATTACAACAGAAATTTTAGGAATTATAATTATATTTTAAAAGATTTTTAGGTATTAAATTAAATTTTTTTGAAAATTTAAGGGAAGCAAAAATATAAAAATATTTAAATTTTTATTTTAAAAAATTATTAATTACATTATTTTTCTTTAACACTACTTATTCTCTTAAAGTTTTGAATAATTTTATTAAAAAAATTCTTTAAAAAAATAATTGAATTTTGGAAGAATAATTACAGTTGCAATTTTTAGAAATAATTAAATTTCAAAAGGTTTTTCATTGCGAAAATTATTTTGAAATTTTAATTCCTGTGGAAAAAAATAAATAAGAATATAAGTTTTTAAATTTTTGTTTGAGAAAAAGTATTGAATTTTTTAATAATTTAATTTAGAAATTCCAAAAAAATTTGTTTCTTGAAAAAATGTAATTAAAATTTTTTGAAAATAATCTTATTTCCGAAAATAATTTTAAAAAAATTGAAACAATTGAAAAAATTTTGTCAAATTTCATTGAATTAAATTTTATATATTTTAATGAATTTTATTTGTTTACTTTCAAAAATTATTTTAAAACACAATTGCATTTTTTTATTTTTATTAAGTATTTATTATTAACTTGTATTTTTTTATTTTTATTATTTATTATTTTTTTTTTATTTTATTTATTTTTTTTTATTTATTTTTTTTACTTTTTTTTATTTTATTATTTTTTTTAATTGTATTTTTTTTGTTTTCTTTTTTTTAATTTATTTTTTATTTATTTTTTCTATTTATTTTTTATTTTTTTTTTATTTTTTTTTTTTTTGTTTACAATAGAAAAAAATTAAAATTTTTTTTAAATTCCGGTAAAAATAACGTCAAAAAATGCTAATTTTCGATAAATTTGGAAAAATTGATTACTTTTGTTTCTATGTGAATGAAGTTGATTTTAAAAAATTTAGAAGGAATGTCAAGGTTTGTATTTAGAGTCGAACTTGAAATTTATATGTTGCATATGAAGGTCGCAACATTGAAAACTATTTTACTTATCTTCTTTGGTACTACATATGTATATGCATATTTGAATACTAGAGGTTAAAGCTCTCTCGTAACTATTTCTATTTTTGCTTTTATAATTTTGCAATTGCCCTTAAGTGTCTTCATAAATTATTTAATTATTTAAAAAAGAAACTAACGATTATTTGATTATTCGATATTTATTTAATCAAAATTTATTCTATTTGTGACATTTATTAATATTTATATATAGGTACCATATGGTGTTTTTATTATTTTTGATTTTTTTCACTTTATTTCATAATAGTTAGTATTATAATAATATAATATAATATTTAATATATAATATTAGAGTTTGTTTATAATATAATTATTTTTTTTATTTTATTGTTATATTTTCAAATGAATAATAATTGTTCATTTACCAAATTTAAAAAAGGTTCAAGACAAAAATATTAAATTTTTATTTATTACTTTTATTACCTAATTATTACACAATAATTCAATTACTTCGACTAATAATAAAATTTTTTATAAAATACAATTTAAAATACAATTAAAAAAAAAAAAAAAAAAAAAAAAAAAAAATTTGATAAAATTTTAAGCAAGAATTTAATTATTTTCATAAATAATAAAACTCATCAAAGAATTTCAATATTATTTTTAATACTATTTTCAATTAATTAATCAAAATTCAATTATTTTCACAAATAAAGATTTCCACATAAGAATTCAATTATTTAAAATAAAATTTTCATAATATTTATTATATTTCGAAAAAATTAATTATTTAAAACAGTTGTTCATAAAATTCTTATGAAGAATTCAATTATTTAAAAAAAAATTTTTTTTTACAGAAATACAATACTTTTTTTTAAAACATTTTTATTAAAATATTATTATATATATTTATTAAAATAATTCAATTATTTTCAAAAATAATAAAATTTTTTGCAGGAATTCAATTATTTTCAAATATTTTATAAAATTGTTCGAAAGAAATCAATGATTTTAAATATAATTTTAATTGAATTTTTTTTTTTAAATAATTCAATTACTTTTTTAAATTTTATTAAAGTTCTTCCCAGGAATTAAATTATTCACATAAATAATTCTTTGAAAGAATTTAATTATTAAAAATAAATAACAAAATTATTTCCAAAAATTCAATTATTTTCAGGCGTTTTAATAAAATTCTTTGCAAAATTCAATTATTTTCAGAAAATAACAATATTTATCACAAGAATTCAATTATTTTTAAAAACAATAAATTTCTTATTGGAAATTCAATTATTTTAAAAAATTCGAATAATTTTTTTTGTTGTAATTTAATTATTTTCATAAGTATAATAAAATTTCTACAACAATTCAATTATAATTTAGAATAACATTTTTAAAAACATTTTGAAAAAAAATCAATTATTTAACAAAATTTTTATAAAATTTTCCATGGAAATTCAATTATTTAAAAAATTTGTTAATAAAATTCTAAGCATGATTTCAATTATTTTCATAAATAATAAAACTCATTGCTGAATTTCAATTATTTTTGCTACTATTTTTAATTAATTGACTGAAAAATCCAATTATTTTCACAAATAAAATTTTCCTCAAGAATTTAATTATTTAAAGTAAAATTTTCATAATATTTATTATATTTCGGAAAAATTAATTACTTAAAATAATTGCTTATAAAATTATTATAAAGAATTTAATTTAATTAAAAAATTTGTTGCAAAATTCGTAAGAATTCAATTTTTTTTCCATGAATAATAAAAATTTATCAGGAATTCAATTATTTTAATTAGAATTTGCATAAAATTAGTCGAAAGAAATTAATTATTTAAAAATTCTTATAAAATTCTTGTCAAGAATTAAATTATTTTTATAAATATTTAAATTGTTTTATGAATAATAAAATTCGTTGGTAAAAAAATACACAGGACAATAAATAAATATTTAGATACAATTTATTAAGTATTTTCTATTTACAACAACGGATTCAAATACATTTTTTTTATTTATTAAATTTTTTTTTGTAAAAAAAACTTATGAATTATGAATTAAAAAAATTCTTCTCTTGACACTTTTTCTCAAATTATATAGTAAAAGAAATTTTACTAAAATCTATTTTTTTTTTATTCGAATAGAAAAATAAAATTTTGATCGAAGTTTTCACTTGAAAGAAAAATGAATTTATTCTCACAGTAACATTTTTTCTTTTGATTAAAAAAAATTGTTTGAGGGATAAAATAATGGTGGTTTAATCTCTCCACTTGAGAACGCCGAAGGTCATCACCAGGTGGCGTGGAATTTGATTTTATCGACTCAACTGCCATCTGGCGGTGACCTTGGCGTTCGCAGGTGGAGAACAGCAACTCCATTGTTAATTCTCAAAAATTTTGGACAATATTTATTATTTTTATTATTATTTACAATCAGACATTGAATCTAGAGAGTTTGACAATATTAATTTAAATGGATTTAAATTTTCAATTCACTTTAATTTGACATTTTTGATTTTCTAATTCGATTTTAGGTTTATCTTCAGTCTTCGAATTCATTTGTTTACTAAATAAATTACAATTGTCATTTATTTTATTAATATTAATATTGAAATTATTTTATTAATATTAATATTGAAATTATTTTATTAATATTAATATTGAAATTATTTACTATTTTTCTCAATTTAAATATTTTTTTACTTTGAAAAAATTCTGCCCTCCGCTGGGGATCGAACCTCGGCCTTCTCTTTACAAGTTGGACGCCTTGACCACGTTGCTACGAACCCTTGTTCGTATTAATTTTTATTTATTTATTTTTTAAAATAATAATAATATAATTCAAATTAATAAAAATTAATAAAAATATCATTCAAATTAGTACAAATTAATAAAAATATAATTTAAATTAATAATAATTAATAAAAAAATATAATTCGAATTAATAAAAATGAATAAAAATATAATTTAAATTAATAAAAATCTTATACAACCTAAAAATTATTTTTAAATTCTGAAGGGTTGCGGTTATATTATATATAATGTTATACAACATTCCTTCATAGAAACCGAGAGTGTGTTATAGATTTATTGGCGCATTCCTTTAGAAGGAAAAAAAATAACTTCAAAATTTCTTCGTTAGCTGTTTATTTTAATTAAATATGCCCATAAATTATTATTTAATGGTTCAATTTTTAGAAACCTGCTCTAAAATTATCCAATCGTTAATAAATTTATGCGACGGAAAAGGTGAATAATATATGTAAAAAAAATTAAAAAGAAGAAGAAGAAGAAGGTTAACTTCTTGGGACCAAAGAAATTAGAGGTTATTTTTTAAGTATCTTTTTTATGCAAAATATGTTATTTAACTTTACAAAGAAAATTTTTTAATTTAAATTAACTAAATAATATTATTATTATTTTTATTATTATTATTATTATTATTATTATTATTATTATTATTATTTCAAAATTTTTTGACAAGTTTTCAAATTAATAAGTACTCCAGATTATTATTATTATTATTAACTAAATATTATTTTTAGAAATAAAAAAGTAATAACAAAAAATTTACACTGAAAAAAACTTTACTTGATTCAAATAAATTCCATTTAAATCAAATTTTCAACTAAATTTAATTAATTTATATTAATTTTATTAAATTTATTTTCTCATTATTTATTTATTATATTTATTTGCTTTATCAATACATTTATTAAAAATGTATTTTACAAAACGTAAAAATGAAAATTTTTTTTTTATTTATTTTATTTTATTAAAAATTGGATAATAAATATTTATTTATTTTATCGCTGTGATGATAAAAGGAAATTATTTAAAGTCGAATTAAATTCAAATAAAAGAAAAGACAGAATTTTATTAAAATAATTGTTTTTTTTTTGTTCTTTTATTTTTTGTTATATATTGTTTTTTATACAGTCATTTGTTTATTTATTTTGTATATACAGTTTTTTCTATTTAAAAAATGTTGCAAACAAATTTCACATTCATTATTTTTTTTGTATTTTCTTTGTAGTACAAACAACAAAATTTCTCTTAATTTGCTATTGGTTTTTCTTAGTACAAAAAACAAAGAGATTTCTTTTTCTATTGATTTTTGTTTAGTAGCAAGGATAGTTTGTAAAAACAAAAAAAAATATTTATTTTGCTATTGATTTTTTTTTGTACAACAAAATTATTTTTTTTTAGTTCAAACACAAAAAATTTTTTTTGCTACTGATTTTATTTTTGCACAAACAACAAAATTGCTTTTGCTACTGTTCTTTTTTAGTACGAATAAAAAAAATTGCTTTACTACAATTTTTTAGTACAAAAAAAAATTCTTGTAGTACAAACAAAAAAATTTTCTTTTTTGCTGATTTTTTTTTAGTACTAACAAAAAATTGCTTTTGCTACTGTTTATTTTAGAACAAACAAAAAAATTGTTTTTGCTATTGTTTTTTTGTACAAACAAACAAATTTCTTTTGCTACAAAATTCTTTTAATATAAACAAAAAAAATTTTTTTTGCTACTAATTCTTTTAGTAGTAACAAAAAATTTGCTTTTGATACTGTTTTTTTAGTACAAACAATATAATTTTTTGTGCCACTGATTTTTTTAGAACAAAAAAATTGTTTTTGCTATTATTTTTTTGTACAAACATAAAATTGTTTTTGCTATTGTTTCTTTGTGCAAACAAAAAAATTGCTTTTGCTATTGTTTTTTTGTACAAACAAAATTGTTTTTGCTATTGTTTTTTTGTACAAACAAAATTGTTTTTGCTATTGTTTTTTTGTGCAAACAAAATTGTTTTTGCTATTGTTTTTTTGTACAAACAAAATTGTTTTTGCTATTGTTTTTTGTACAAACAAAAAAATTTCTCTTGCTAATAATAATTTTTTTAGTACAAAAAAAAAATTGTCTTTGCTATTGATTTTTACTTTTTGTAACGAAAAAAAAAACATTTCATTTGCTTTAAATATTTTTTAGTACAAATAAATTGTCTTTGCTGTTGATATTTCATACTAACAAACAGATTTTTCTTTTTTTTTGCTTCTAATTTTTTTAGTACAAAAAAAATTTCTTTTGCTCTTGACTTTTTCTTTTCGTAACAACAAATTTATTTTTTTTTTGGTTCTATTTTACGGAGAGGATTTTTTTTGTCATTCTAAATAACACAAAAAATTTAGTTTTGTTTCTTTTTTTTTCTAAAAAATTATTTTTTAAAAAATTATTTTTTTCTTTTTTGCTCTTGCGGAAAAAAAATAAAAAGATTTTTTAAAAACAGTTGTGTGTACAATTATTATTTAATTAAGCACGTGGTAAATGATCTCCCTCGGCTTGAAAACCATTTTCATCGGCAGTATAATTAACTTTATATTCCTGTCCGGTTGTTGGATCAATCCACTGGAAACTACCGCGAACAGCAACAGATTCATTTTCCTCGCCAGGATTCACAATTTCAGCTGTTTCCTCTTTCTTCTGTCCGTCGGATAATTCATAACTGTACTGATAACCCTCCAAACCATTATTCTCGTGTAATTTCTCTCTCACAAGGACAATTTCACTATTATCAACATTGGCGTATCTATTTTCGACATTTTCACTCGCAGCTGGTTCCAAGTAGGAGTTATCGATTTTCTCACTGGCAGCAGGTGTCAAGTAGGAGTTATCAATTTTTTCACTACTAGCAGGTGCCAAGTAGGAGTTATCGATTTTTTCACTAGCTGCAGGAGCTAAGTAGGAGTTATCGACTCTCCTACTAGCAACAGGTGTCAAGTAGGAGTTATCAATTTGTTCACTGCTAGCAGGTGCCAAGTAGGAATTATCAACGGCGCTCGGTGAGTGATAATCATTATCTATTCTAGCGTCAATAGGCGGTAAGTAGGCGTTGTAAGCCCTCTCCGAAGTCGTTGGCCTCCTAGTAGTAGTAGTTGGCTTCCTAGTAGTCACAGGGGGCAAATAATTAGGTTGTTCTACAATCTTGATAACAGGCCTCTGCGTTGTAGTAGTAGGTGGCAAGTAGGTACTCTCAATTCTCCTAGTTGTTGGTCTCCTAGTAGTGGTAGTGGTAGTAGGTGGCAAGTAGGTACTCTCTATCCTTCTGGTAGTAGTAGGCCTCCTAGTAGTGGTAGTAGTAGTAGGTGGTAAGTAGGTACTCTCTATCCTCCTGGCAGTAGTAGGTCTCCTAGTAGTGGTAGTAGTAACAGGCGGCAAGTAGGTATTTTCAATTCTCCTAGCGGTAGTAGGTCTCCTAGTAGTTGTAGTGGTAGTAGTAGGCCTCCTAGTAGTAGTGGTAGTAGTAGTAGGTGGCAAGTATGTACTCTCTATTCTCCTAGTAGTAGTAGGTCTCCTAGTAGTGGTAGTAGTAACAGGCGGCAAGTAGGTATTTTCAATTTTCCTAGCAGTAGTAGGTCTCCTAGTAGTAGTAGTAGGCCTCCTAGTAGCACTAACAGGTGGCAAGTAGGTGGTCTCTATCCTCCTGGCAGTAGTAGGCCTCCTAGTAGTAGTGGTAGTAGGTCTTCTAGTAGTAGTAGGTCTCCTAGTAGTGGTGGTAGTAGTCACAGGCGGCAAGTAGGTAGGAGGCAGATAAGTAGGTTCGACTTTCTTAGTAACAGGCCTTTGAGTAGTGGTGGTAGTAGTAGTAGTAGTAGGTGGCAAGTAGGTGCTCTCAATTCTCCTAGTTGTTGGTCTTCTAGTAGTGGTCGTGACTCGCCTAGTAGTTATCGGCCTCGCAGTAGTCGATGGGGGCAAGTATTCACTTTCAATATGTCTAGAGGGCGCGATTATTGGTCTCCTAGTAGTAGTAGGTCTAGCAGTGGTTGGCCTCCTAGTAGTTGTCGGTCGCCTTGTTGTCGTCGGGGGTAAATAGGGATTCGCCGGTTTTGGATAAAAATAACCCTGCGGTTCGGAACGTTCCTCCACAGAATAGTAATTTCCAGTTATGTCTGCTATGCTCTGCGGAAATTGTGCGGCACTAGCGACCGCCACTAGGGCCGCTATTACGACGAACTGCAAAAAAAAAATTTGTTGACTCCTTTTGATTTTGTTTCAATATTTTTTTTTTATTTTATTACTTTTTTTTATTTTATTATCTTGTTACTTTTATTATTTTCTATTTTTAACAAATTTTTTACAAACATTTTTATATTTTAATGCGAAAATAATTTTTTCTTTTTTGAATTTCCCGCCAGAATTTGCGAAAGGAGGGGAATTCCCTAAATTATTATTGCAAATGGAACTTTTAATACTTTAATGAGAAAAAAAATATTTTTTAATTATTCAATTTTTTTTTTTTTTTTTTTTTTTGAAAGGAAATAAGGGGAAAAAATACTTTTACTTTTTCTTTTTTATTTGCAAAAATATTTGTTAAAATTAAAATTTTTGGAAAAAAATTGCAGTATAAAGGTGAATTCACAACTTCACAGATAAAATTCGTTTAATTGTATAATTTATGTTTGCAAGAAAAAAAAACGAAAAAAATATTTTTCTTTGCAAAAGAAATTTGTTAAAAATAAAATTATTGCAAAAATAGAAATATTAAGGTGTATTCATAACAAAAATTAATAAAACAAAATTAGGAAAAAAAATTCTTTAAAAGTACAATTTAGTTTTTCACGAAAAAAAAATATTTTTCTTTGCAAAAAAAAGTTGTAAAAAATAAAATTAACGTAAAAATTGAAAAATAAAGGTGAATTCACAACAAGAATTTCAAAAGAAAAAATGCTTTTAATTGTATAAATTGTTTGCAAAGAAAAAAAGGAAGAACACATTTTTCTTATTTTTATGTTTTTGAAAAAAGAATTTGGAAAAATTAAAATTAACGCAAAAAGCAAATATTAAGGTGAATTCACAACAATAATTTGGGAGAGAAACTTCTTTTATTTGTATACTTTGTGTGTAAAAGAAAACCGAAAAATATTTTTTTTTTCGCAAAAAAAAAAAATTTGTTATAATTAAACTTATTGCAAAAAAAAAAGAAATATTAAGGTGAATTCACAACAATAATTTGTGAGATAAATTTTTTTTCATTGTATACTTTGTGAAAGAAAAAATATTTTCTTTTCTTCGCAAAAAAAATTTGTCATAACAAAAATTATTGCGAAAAAATAAATATTAAGGTGAATCCATAACAAGAGAAAAAATGTTGTTGATTGTATAATTTGTTTGCAAAGCAAAAAAAATATTTTTCTTTTTTTCTTCACAAAATAAGTGTTGAAAAACAAATTTGTAAAAATGTTAAATTTTAAAATCGTAAAAAAAAATGAAAACGAATTCACAATAAAAAATTTCAAAGAAAAAACCGCTTTTAATTCTACAATTTGTTCGCGATGGAAAAAAGGCAAAAAAAATATTTTTCTTTTTCTTTCATTGCAAAAAAAAATTTGTAAAAATAAATATCGCGAAAAACACAAATATTATGGTGAATTCACAACAAAAGTTTCAAAGAAAAAATTCTTTTAATTTAACATTTGTAAAATTTTGTTTACTAAAGAAAAAAAAAAATAAAATATTTTTCTTTGCAAAAAAAAAAAATTTTGTTAAATTAAAATTTATTGCGAATAAAGAAATATTAAGGTTATTTCACAACAAAAATTTCTTTTAACTTCCAAAATATTTTTGTTTTCAATAAAAATTTTTTTTTCTTTGCAAAAAAAAGTTGTAAAAATAAAAATTAACGCGATATGCAAATATTAAGGTGAATTCACAACAAAAACTTCTTGCGCAAAATTTTTTTCAGTTATAAATTCCTTTCTTTCTCGCTCTTCAATTTTATGAAACTATTTTTTCTTTTGTCCCATTCACAAAACACAGAAAAAAAATAAAAAAAAAATTTGTAATTTGCTGCTGAAAATAAAAAATCACAAAAATAACACTTTTCTTATTTTGCACACGCACCATTCGCATGATGTTCGTCGGCGCGAAACTTAATTTTTTTTTTTGAAGGTAAAGTTATTCGTGAATCCTGATCTTGACTAGAATTGGGAAAAGGTGAAGACTGATTTTTTTCATCGCGGTCCAAGCGTTTATATATGCCACACATATATTGAATTGCAGTAATCAATTCCCCTTCATTAGGGACCATTGGACCAAAATGGAAAAAAAAATTGTGATGACACTTTTTTCCATTTTTTAATTCACCTTTTGGATTTTTTTCTCCTTCCATCTTTTACTCTTTTCTTTTTTTTTGAAATTAAGCATAATCATGTTTCTAAACAGATTTTATAATGAAGAAAAAATAAAATAAAAATGACGAATAATAAAATAAAATTAACGAAATATTACATATATAGATATTTATGTATATTAAAATCGGCACCTTGAATTACGAGGAGAGGCAAAATTAACAATCGCGATGCCTCTCCAATTATACATTAATTTGCATTTATTAGAATGATTCAGAAAATTTATTTCTCCATAGTAAATAAAAAAAAAAATTCTATTTGATTTATCGCATTAGTTTTTATTTTTTTTTATTTTAATTTTTGTTAATGTAAATACATTTTTGGTTAATTTTTAATTTATTTTTATTACCATTTTTAGTTTTTTTTTACTATTCCCTTTGATTTTGATTTTGATTTTTATATTAATTTTGGTTAATGTTAATTTTTTTTAGTTTATTTTTACTACTATTTTTAGTTTTTTTTACTATTACCTTTGATTTTTATTTTTTTATATTAATTTTTGTTAATGTTAATTTTTTAGTTTATTTTTACTAAAACTTTTTTTGTTTTTACATTTGTTTATTTATTTTTACTACAATTTTTGTTGTTTTTATTACATTTGTTACAGTTATACATTTGTTTATTACATTTTTATCGTTTTTCCCCTTTTCTCTAATTTTTATTTTTAAATATAAAGTTTTTATAATTTTTTTTATTTATTTTTTATTAATTTTTTTTTTATAATTATTTTAATAATAAATTATTATATATTACTCTTATTTTTTAATTCATTTCTCCTTCTTTCTTTATTTTTTAATTTCTTTTTTCAATATTAAATTTTAATAATTTTTTTATTAATATTTATTCTAATAATAAATTATTATTTATTTCTTATTTTTAATCGTTCTTTCTCTGTTTTTTAATTTTTTTCAATATTAAATTTTAATAATTTTTTGGAATATTTATAAGTAATTCTTAAGTAATTATTAATTATTTATAATTTATTATTCTATAAACAATTATAAATTATTTAATTTAATTTTATAAATTATTTATTACTCTGATTTTTAATAGTTTTTTCTTCTTTTTCTGTTTTTCAATATTAAATTTTCATAATTTTTTTAATATTTATAAATAATTCTATAAACAATTATAATTTTTTAAAATTTAATTTTATAAATTATTTATTACTCATATTTTTAATCGTTTTTCCTTCTTTCTCTGTTTTTCAAATTTTTTTTTAATATTAAATTTTAATAATTTTTTTAATATTTATAAATAATTCTATGAACAATTATAATTTTCTTAAATTTAATTTTATAAATTATTTATTACTCATATTTTTAATCGTTTTTCCTTCTTTCTCTGTTTTTTAATTTTTTTTTATTCTAAAATTTTAATAATTTTTTTAATATTTATAAATAATTTACAATTATAATTTTTTTAAATTAAATTTTATAAATTATTCATTACTCTTATTTTTAATTAGTTTTTTAAAGCAAAAAGTAATATTAAAAAAGTTAAAAATAAACAAAATTATTTAATTTCACTTCATTGGGATTTATTCTTATTAAAGTTTAAAGTTTTTGAATAATAAATTAAATTATTATGTAAAATAGATAAAAATAAAACAAAATGTGGACAAAAAAAATTTTTTTATTTTATATTTATTATAATTTTTTATTTGTTATAACAATTATTTATATTTCTCATTTATATTTATAGTCACTCTTTTATTTTTTTTCTTTTATTTTTGTATTATTTGTTTGCAATTTAAATTATTTTTATTATTTATTTGTTTATTTAGTTATTTATAACTTCATTTGTAACAATTAATTATTTTATATTATTGTTTTTATTGCTTTTTATTTATTGTTTCATTTATAATATTTATTTTCTACTATTTTTTATTTAAATATTTATTTATGTATTAAGAAAAATCTCAACCGTGCGGGGATTCGAACACCTTCTCTCTTCTCTCCCATTGATTACGAACCGTGCAACTAACCAACTGAGCAAATTCATCATTCATACTTTGTTATATTTTTATTACATTTCTATTGTTTTATATTTATTATTTTAATTATTTTAATGATTTTTTTGCTTATTTTTGATTATTTTTTATCACTCCTTATTTATTTTTTTACAATAATCAATTATTTTTTACTATTTTTAAAATTATTTTTATTATCACTATTTATTGCTTTATTTTCAGTAATTAATTATTTTCTACTACTTTTCTTTATTATTTTCTTCATTATTTATTTATTTATCCAAAAGTTTATTTATATAATAATTTAGTAGAAATAAAAAAAATCATTAATAAATACTTTTTAAATTTTTTATTTATTATTATATTTTTTCAATTTTAATTATTTATTAAATAAATTATTTCGTCCATAAATAAACAAAGGAAAATGAAAAATAAAATCACTAAATTATAAAAAATTATAATGCAAAACTATTTCAAATGAAAATTATAAATTGCAAAAAAAAATTGTAGTGTAAAACTCTTTATGAAACAGAATTTTTTTAGTCGAATTTTTATTCGATAGAATTTTATTGTTTAAACAAATTCGAAAATTAACCCGAATTTCTACTTAACAAAAATTTTTTTTTTTTTATTGTTATTTTTGTAATTGAATTATTTATTCGACAAAATTTTAATTAAAAGTTAATATTTTTTTATTTTTAAGTTTTTACAAATTAAAATAATTGCTATTTTTTATTAATTATAAGGCCGTTTTTTTTAATTTTATAAAGTATTCAATAATAATAATCATAGTAATTATTATAATAACAAGTTGTTAATTATTATAACAATAAATTGTTAATTACAAATTGTTAATTATTATAACAATAAATTGTTAATTACAAATTGTTAATTATTTTAACAATAAATTGTTAATCACAAATTGTTAATTATTATAATAACAAATAAGACTAATAATAATCTGAATTACTTAACATTAAAAAAAATCCACTTGAGGCAGGATTCGAACGCTGCACCTTGATATATCAAAGTGATGCCTTACGCCCCGCAGCCAATACCAAATGTAAAAATAATGCTATTAATACTAATAATGGTAATAGTCAAAAAATATTATTATTATTATTATATTATCATTACTAATCTCGGAGAGGTCTTATAAATAAATAAAATGAAAACAAATTAAAATTTTCTTTTTCTTTTTTTATTGCAAAAAATTAAAAAACATCTTTTGGTCGAATAACAAAATTAGAAAAAAAAAATTTTTTTTCTCTTTTTTTCCCTGGTTTTTTTTTATTAAACAGTTGGAATGTGAGCACCCTCAGCGTGGAAGCCATTTTCATCGGCGACATAATTAATTCTATATTCCTGTCCAGTTGTTGCATCAGTCCACGAGTAGCTACCTCTAACGACAATAGCCTCATTTTCAGTTCCAGCGTTAATTAATTCGGCGGATTCCTCTTTTTGTTGTCCATCGGAGAGTTGATAGTTGTATTGATAGCCATCGGTGCCAATATTGTCGTGTAATCGTTCAGCGAGAACAACAGTCGACGACTGATCGCCATTTTGTTGTTGTTGACGATTAATATGATGATAGTGATGATTATTGTTGTTTCGTTGATGATGATGACTGTGTGGCAGTAGGCCAGCACTGGCAGCGGCCACGACAACGGCTAATACAATCAACTGTGAAAAAAAAATTTTTTTTTAAATTTTTTTTTATTTTTTTTTTTAATTTTTTTTTTATTTTTTTTTATTTATTTCTATTATTTTTAGTCTTATTTATTATTACTCTTAATTATTATTATTACTACTTTCTATTGTTATTGATATTATTTATTACTATTTGCAACTATTATCATTAATTTGTTTATTAACAAAAAAAAAGAAATTTAATTATTATTATTACTACTTTCTATTATTATTGATATTATTTATTATTATTTGCAACTATTATTATTTATTAATTTGTACATTAAAAAAAAAAAAAAAAAAAAAAAAAAAAAAAATACTATTATTAATATTATTTATTATGGTTTAGTATTATTCCTATCATAACTATTATTTTAATTTTTATTATTTTTACTAAAAATACTGAATAACAAATACAATTTATAAACATCAGAAATTTTTTTTACCACTTTCATGATGAGGAATGAAAAAAAGAGCCGAATATTCAATTATTCGCTGGAATTGAAGAATTGGAACTGATGATTTGAAGATGAGTTCAGTGGGTTTATATACTTGATTCGAATTAGAATAAATAATAAATATTGACCTTTTCGATAATGAAAATTTGTGTAAAAAAGGAAAAAAGTTTCCAAATTTTAACTTTTACAGTCAATATAATATTATATTTCTGTTGACGTAATTTCTAATGCAACATTATCCGTTGGTGTCTTTCACGCGTTTTTTATGAATAATTTAAAATGTAACACATGACAATTTTTATATCATTAACATATTCTTAGTTTACGTGAATTTATAACGAATCTTCTTTTTTTAAACTTAGTGCTAAAAATTTTATTGATAAAAAATTAATAATAATAATAATCATAATAAAATAATTATAATAATAATAATAATAATAATAATAATAATAATAAACTATTAATAATTAATATTAATAATTAATAATAAAATAATTATAATAAAATTTTTACAATTTTTTTTAATTTGTCCTTATTTACTATTTATTTATTCAGATTTCAGAAGTTTATTTATAATAATTTAGTAGAAAGAAAATAAATTAATTAATAAATATGTACTATTTAAATTTCAGATTGATAAATTAACAAAATATTTAAATTATTCCAAAAAAATAGAATAGGAGATATTGGAGACTTGTAGACCACC